CCAGTCTGCACTAATGTAAAAAACATGGCAGCCTCCGTAGAGAGGATCCCCTCCATGTAAATATAAAGTATTTCAATATAAAAGGTCTTTTCTGGGGTAAAGAAAACTACAATTCAAACAATCTAGATGAGATGAACTCGTGAAAACATCATGAGGATTATTCATCATTAGATTTATGTCAATAGATCCTTTCACCTGAATCTTACACTGGAGCTTTAATGATGAATAAACATTTACACATTTTAAAAACGGCTGTTAAAAGGTTTCATGTGGTAACTAAATAACCCCGCCCCTGTCGATTGATTCTCGGTTTTGGACCAGTCACGTGTTGGTGCCGCTCACTAACAGTACAGAATCTTTAAACTGACGCACTGCTGATCTGACCACCTGACGGAGTCCGAGTTTATAGAATATTTACCCGTTCACAGCATCTGTCTCCTCTGCTGCTTCGTGCTCCTCTTCGTCTCCTCCCAGTTTGGTTGCTTCCTGATTGGTCGATCTGAGTCCACATGTGGCCCAGCTGGAAATTCGACAGAAAGCAGAGAACTCTGAAGCTCCGAGTCCTCGTTGCAAGAAGAACTGCTGACCCACGTAGTGACGCCACTCACAGCGATGGTGACAGCACAGTGCCACTGCCAGGCCAAGGACAGCACCAGAGACAGGACCAGTTTCTGGTCCTGGATCATTAGAGACTGAACCTGTGTCTGGACCATGATCAGCTGCTGGTTCTGAGGTTTTGAGGCGTTTTGGTGGCGGTTCAGTCTCCTCTCTGAGTCCTGGTGTGTCCAACAAACAGCGCAGAGCCAGATCTGAGGACAGAAACATGTTAATGTTCAGCTGCAACTGGCGAGGCACATCAGTTAGTGTCATGTCAAAACCAAATGGTACCAGCTCAGTGTTGTCCAGAGTACTGTGCTCCCAGGACCTTTACCTGCGCTGTCCAGGAGCAGCGCTTTCTGAATTCAGATCAGGTCAAACCTGGCGACAGAGCTGAGCTCAGACAGTCAAGCAGATTGTTCTCACCTGTTGCTGCACCACACAGGTGTTTGCCGACTCCGACTAATGGGAGATTTTTCTTCCTGAGCAGAGGAACTTTACCTGGAAACGCCGACAGGGTCAGAACAGAAGACCGTGAACATATGGATTCAGATCTAAAACCATCAGGGTCGCTGGATGTTTGTCTCTTACTTAAATCCAGATGTTGAATGTCAACCTGCAGTCTCTCAAACTGAACTCCAACATCCTGATGTTTCCCATCCACCTGAAGCAGAACAGACCAGGTTGAGTTATTTTGAAGGAGTCTGGACTCGACGAGCAAAGAATCTAAAGTGATTGGGTTGGTCTGGAGAATCTGGAGTTTGGACTCAGGGAGTTTGGACTCAGGGAGTCTGGAGTCAAGCAGTCTGGTTTTGGACAGTTTGGACTCAGGAATCAAGTGCAGTTGGCAGTTAGGGGTTATTGTTGAGTATTTGGATTTTGGAGTGAAATTTGGAATCGAGAGTCAGTGAATCTGGAGTCAGGAAGTTAAAATGTTTAATCTGGACTCAGGAAGTCTCAAGTTAACGGTCTGGAGTTGTAGAGTTGCTTCATGCCTTGAAGCGGGTGCTGCAGCGCTCCACCAGCAGCAGCTGCAGGTCTTCGCAGGTCTTCAGGGCTTCGTGGATCCAGTGCGACAGTTTCCCTCGACCTGCCCCAAACTCCACAAAGCAGCGCCCCCCTCCCAGCAGTCCCAGCTCCTCCAGGTGACCTAAAATAGAAGACTGGACACACCTGACAGGTTAGACGGGACCTGACCCAGCTCTGCCTCTTGAAGGAGAACGTGATTCAGCTGAGTTCAATTTTTCTGTACCTGCTGTTTCAGGTGTTTATGGGCAGAGTCGCCATTCTTTGGGTTATTAAGCTCCCCCTGGAGGACAGGATGACACATAACGTTGTCCTCCACGTCACACTGCAGATCTACAACAACAGTGATGACATGAGACTGTGGAGAGAGACCGATTCTCCATGAGTCCTTAACTCCATCACCTGAAGGTTGAGCTGTCAGGTAGAGGAGAAGCAGCTCACCTTTGACTGCAGTCCTCAGTTTCTCCAGCAGAGAGTGTAACTCTGTCCTGCTACGTTCACTCAGACTCACCTGAAACAGAATTGTTAACATGAGCACTAAAACTAACATGGTTGTTGAGTGAGTTGATCAGCTGATCACATGTTACCTGCTGCTGACACTCGTCTCCATCAGCTGATCCAGCGTTTATGTTCTCGACATAATAAACCTGAGGAGCATTGAACACATGAAACACCTCCGACCTTTAACCTTGACACACATGAACAAATTCACACTCACAGGTTTTTCTTTTTCTCTGGAGTTACACTTCTTCAGGTGTTTGTTCAGTTTGTCTTCACTCACAGTGCTGAGGGAATACACACACACACACACACACACACACACAGTAGAAACTAAACAAATGGTATAAAACAGAATTGTATTTATCTTTCTGTTTATCATTGATCAATAACGTGATTAATAAATGATCAACCAGCGACTCACTGTTTGGGGTCAAGAGGACACACAATTCTTCTGCTGCTGCTTCCTTCCTCCTGTAAACAGGAAACATGACGGTTCACCTGGTTGTTCATATCAGGGGCCTGTACCATGAAGCGAGTCTTATCAGGGTAAGTTCAGGAGTAACTTTGTGGTTAACCAGTTCTACCAGGGAGGTGAGGTTTAACCCGAGGGCTGCTGCCATGGCAACTTAGTTCTCACCATGGTCACATGTTCTCTCCATGTAAACAGTATGTTCTCACCATGGTC